GAAGAAATGCACAGTAGCACACACCATTATACAGTGTTTACACCAAACTAACATAATAGGCATAAATAACTTTAAGAGAATAGTTCATAGTAAAATCTAATTTAAAAATTAGGAAGTGAAGTGTTGACCTGTTTCATTGTAAGCTACATGATTTGTAAATAATGGCTATATAAAACAATCGCTGGCTTACAAAATTCCTGACAACTTAACAATTAGAGCCTGCAAGCTGGTAGAAGTTAGTCATAGCACAGGAAGCCAATTAAGTCAAAATATCTGTGGGTGGGAACATTGGTACCTTTAAAAACAAACAAACATTGGTACCTTTAAAAACAAACAAACAGCCGGGCACGGTGGCTCACGCCTGTAATCCCAGCACTTTGGGAGGCCGAGGCGGGTGGATCACGAGATCAAGAGAACGAGACCATCCTGGTCAACATGGTGAAACCCCGTCTCTACTAAAAATACAAAAAATTAGCTGGGCATGGTGGCGCATGCCTGTAATCCCAGCTACTCAGGAGGCCGAGGCAGGAGAATTGCCTGAACCCAGGAGGCGGAGGTTGCGGTGAGCCGAGATTGCGCCATTGCACTCCAGCTTGGGTAACAAGAGCGAAACTCCATCTCAAAAAAAAAACAAAACAAAACAAAACAAAAAAACAAACAAACAAACAAACAATCAAACAATCAAACAAATACTCCAGAAGATTCTAACATGCAGTCAGTACTGAAAATCATTTTTCTAAGCCTGAGGATGGGGCTGATATCCAGGTTTCTTGAGATGTGGAAGAGAAACTTAATTTCTGAGAGAAACTAGATGTTACAAAGGAAAAATCTGAGGAGAAAGGAAGCAGAAGCAAATGGAGCTGAGTACTTTATAGGGGGGAAAATCATAAAAAAGAATGCCTGGGATGTGGGAGAAAGAATTCTGGAGAAAAGACGAGGGTGACCAACCATCTTGGTTTGCTGGATGCAGGCTTTTTAGTACTAAAATAAGGGAAGTCTCTGGCAAACCACTAGAAAAATAATTTATTTTATTTTAATTAATTAAAATTTAAATGTAAGTAGCCATATGTGACTAGTGGCTACTTTGCTAGACAGCATAGTGAATCTAAACAAACACAAAAACATGGCTTCTTTGCATATGTAAATTTTCTCTTTTGTTTGCTGGTATGGAAAGTATTTTAAAGCACATTAAAAAGGAGTGAATAAGAGTGGTGAGAGAAGGCATCCTTGTCTTGTACCAGTTTTCAAGGCAAATGCTTCCAGCTTTTGCTCATTCAGTATGATATTGGCTATGGGTTTGTCATAACTGGCTCTTATTATTTTGAGGTATGTGCTTTCAATACATAGTTTATTGAGAGTTTTTAACATGAAAGTATGTTGAACTTTATCGAAGGTATTTTCTGCATCTCTTGAGATAATCATGTGGTTTCTGTCTTTAGTTCTGTTTATGTGATGAATTATATTTACTGATTTACATATGTTGAACCAGCCATATTCCCCAAAGCAATTTATACATTCAACTCTATTCCCATTAAATTACCATTGACATTCTTCACAGAATTAGACAAACCATTTTAAAATTCATTTAGAACCAAAAAAAAAAAAAAAAAAAGCTTGTATGGCCAAGACAATTGTAAGCAGAAAGAATAAAGCTACAGGCATCACACTACCCAACTTCAAACTATACTACAAGGCTACAGTAACCAAAACAGCATAGTACTGGTACAAGAACAGACATGTAGATCAATGGAACAGAATAGAGAACCCAGAAATATGGCTGTAAACCTACAAATATCTGATCTTTGACAAACTTGATCAAGCAATGGGGAAAAGATACCCTATTCAATAAATGATGCTGCTGTGGAAGAAAAACAAAAATGAAATAAAATAGAACAGAGTATAGTTTAAATAATAAGCATAACACAAGTAGTAGGTAACTAAAAATAAAGATCATTTAAGAGTTGTACAGAGGCTAAGAAATTTAAGTAATCGCTCTCTAGTGAAGCTTCAAGCTTATCTTGCATTTGCATTCTTGGCTAGGTTGTAAACTGTATTAAGAAAAAAGTAAAGGCTAGCAAACTAGATACCACCCTTAATTGCACTCCCAGCTATAGATCCCAGGCATAATATGGAGAAATGCTCTCTATTGTTCTCGATCAATTTTGCTCAAACCCCCACCTGGTCATGTACCCTACACCTACTTCATCGATCACAACCCTGTCACTTGTACTTTCTAGAATTGTAAGCCTTTAAAAGGGCTAGGATTTTCTTGGTCCGGGAGCTCATTTCTTGAGACGCAAGTCTACCAATGCGCCCAGCCAAATAAAGCAACTTCCTTCTTTAAATCTGGTGTCCAGGAGGTTTCATCTGCAGCTTGTCCTGCTACACTGTGAGAACTGGTTAACCATACAAGGAAATTAAAACTGGATCCCTTCTTTACACCTTATAACTCAGATGAAATAAAGACTTAAATGTAAAACTCAAAACTATAAAAACCCTAGAAAAAAATCTAGGCAATACCAAGCAGGATACTGGCATGGGCACAGATTTTATAATGAAATCACCAAAAGCAACTGCAACAAAAGCAAAAATTGACAAATGAGATCCAATTAAACTAAAGAGCTTCTGCACAGAAAAAGAAATAATCATCAGCATAAATAGAAAACCTACAGAATGGGAGAAAAGTTTTGCAATCCATCTGACATATGAAAAAAGCTCAACATCACTGATCATTAGAGAAATGCAAATCAAAACCACAATGAGATCCCATCTCACACTAGTCAGAATGGTGATTATTAAAATAATAATAAAAAAAACAGATGCTGGCAAGGTTGCAAAGAAATAGGAACACTTTTACACTGTTGGAGGGAATGTAAATTAGTTCAACCATTGTGGAAGACAGTGTGGTGATTACTCAAGGATTTAGAACTGGAAATACCATTTGATCTAGCATCTCATTCTGGGTATATACCTGAAGGAATATAAATAATTCTGTTATAAAGATACATGTATGTGTATGTTTATTGCAACACTATTTACAATAGCAAAGACATGGAATCAACCCAAATGCACACCAGTGATAGACTGGATAAGGAAAATGTGGCACATATATACCATGGAGTAGTATGCAGCCATTAAAAGGAAGGAGATCATGTCCTTTGAAAGCATATGGATGAAGCTGGATGCCATTATCCTCAGCAAACTAACTGAGGAACAGAGAACCAAACACTGCATGTTCTCAGTTATAAGTGGGAGCTGAACAATGAGAACACATGGACATAGGGATGGGAACAACACACACTGGGGCCCATCAGGGGAGGGTGATGGGGGTAGAGCATTAGGGAAAAGAGCTAATGCATGTTGGCCTTCTTATCTAAGTGATGGGTTGGTAAGTGCAGCAAACCACCATAGCATGTGTTTACCTATGTAACAAACCTGCATATTCTGCACATGTAGCTCAGAACTTAAAAAATAATAATAATTAAAAATAAAAATAAAATGAAAAAAAGGAGTATACATGACAGTGACAATTCCAATCCTAAGGTTAAATATTTGCTATCCAGCTCATGTGTTAATATGTATAAGCAATAGAAATTCTTCAGAAATAAGCAGTGAACTTGTGAGAAAAAAAAAATACTTTTTTTCCAGGTTACACTACAGTTCATATGAATAGTTGCTGATTCAAATGAGTGGGATGAATGTCATTAAGGCAACTACACTCCCCACTCCCTTTTTATATTTTTCTTAGCAGCTGCATCCTTCTAGAAAACAACCATTCTCCCTCACCTGGTTTCTCTCTTAATCGATAGCAAGTACTTTGCAAAATTGCTGAACGGGTTTGTAATCAAGTCAAAAACCTGGAAAAGAACAATGCTACTGCATTATAGAAACCCTTGACCTTGATGTCTTGAACATTACTTTCTAAACCCTTAGCTGACTAGCAGACTATGAGAAATAAATTATCATGTATAACATGGAATTACACTTACCAAAAAGTCTGTTTTTACACTGTAATGTTCTCACTCAAAATACATACATGGGAATGTCATCAAAAGAAATGTTATAGATAGAAAATATAATCTTACTTGCAGAATAAAAGAATATTAAGAAAGGTGAAGGTTGATTAAAATATAATTTACTTCAAATGTTATCACATACCCATAAAAATAATCCAAAGGAAATGACGAGTTGTAGTAACAGTGATTTCTTAAATGGAAAAAGGCCATACTTTGAGTAATTCAAATTTTATTAAGTATAATCTCTTGAAATGTAGAATATGAAATTATAGGACAATGTTAACTTGCCAGACTTAACATGAATAATCTGCTATGAAAAACAAAAGTATTTAAATTCCCTAAGCTTTTTGTACTAAAACCACTTTAGCCAAGTGTAAGTTATTCTTTATCTCTCTCAAAGATGCAATAGCAAAGTAGTGGAGGACATTTAGCGATCTTGTCCTGACAAATAACCAATTCACCTTTTTTCCCAGTATATTCTTAAGTATTGATTTTACCAAGTGAACTCAGACATGTGTCACACTTATCCAATACAGATCCTTTTCCTTGGAAATGTAGTTTGAACATCAATCAGTCACCTGGCCTTTCACCTTCAATTTCTATTGGCACTGTCTGTCAACTATTAAAGCTTGCCCATTTCGCCAAAAGTTAGTTTTAGAAACTGAAATATATCATGACCACTGTGAAAAATTTGTTTCTTGGAAAAGTATGCAAATGTTCACATGATTAAATTGCTTCATTAAAATTACTTATCTGACTTGAAAACTAGTTAAAGCTTATAAATATACATTTCAAAGGTACCTAGGTATTTTCTTTTAAAATCTATTTCCTGAATAATAATATTATGACTTATATTACTACCAACTTGAGGAAGCCAACATTAAAAGAAATTCAAGCTGTGTGGCATTGTTATAAGGGTTTTCAAATAGAGCAGAATGCTTCTGCTCTGGCTGAATCCAATGAGAGGCACAGAATGACACCCACCTTGAGCTGTAGGCCTCCTGGGACAAGCGTGTTTGCTGGAAGGCTTTTAATGTGTTGGTAGACATAAGAGGAGAATTGCTCCTGCTCAGCCTGTAATTGGGGGCCAAGTTTAGAGAGATGACCTCTGTTGCTTTTGATAGCTGTCTGCAATTCATCAATCAGCCTGCTCACCTGAAGGGGTTAATTTACAAGAGTTGTTAGCAAGAAGTAATTGTTGATGTCACACCTATTAGATTTTTGAGTACATGGTTTGATGGGGGGAAAATGACTTCAATACAAGAATTTAAGTACGGCTCTATCCTCAAGTAAAAACAATGGAAGAACTATACATTCCTACATCTACAATTTTTTTTTATGAAAAAATGTGTAACATTTTCATTTTAGTAATATGAAATAGGTAGCCCTTTACAATTGCTGAATGAAAAATATCTCTGGATATGAAAAGAAACATATACATTTGACAAGTTTGCAAATAACTTTTAAACTGCTTAACAAATTAAAACCCTCCTAGGACTTTAAATAATTCAATATATGTAACCTATCACCAAATACTTCATTTCACATTTCACTATATGTACCTTCCTTTTTAGAATATTTTATTATGTATTTCATTTAAATTATATATATATATAAAATTCATTATCATTTTGTTGACCTTTAAAATTAATCTATTGTCTTCCTCCCAAATATTCCAATGCCCTTTTCCTAATTTCATAGATACAGTTTTCCAAAATGTCTGTAACTTCAAAAATAATGCTCTGTTCTGGAAAATATTTTAAATACATATTAACGTCAAAATAAAGCATAGTTTTTCCGGAAACACCAAAGACTAAGGATTCTGTAATCTTGATTTTTAAATTTCTAGATTTCTACATGGTATATTTAAGACATACATATGAACTTTATTGGTGGGTTATGAATAGCAGTAGTTAACATTTTAACCCATATAGTTTACAAATTAAGAATCATAACCATTGTTTGACTCTTCACTGTTCATGTGAACATATTCTCTCTACTAGGCTGGATTCTTACATAAAAACTGGTTGATATTATGGTAGTGACCAAAAGAGATAAAGAACAAAAATCTACCTCATCTGTGATTCTTCAAAGTAACCAAATTAGACCCATTTAGAATTATGAATGAGTTTGAATAGAGCATTGGTATTGAAAACTTGGGTTAAAATCCTGGCTCCATCACTTACTGATTGGCAGGTAGTAAAATCCTTGTCCACAAATGAAGAATAACACTGGCTTTACATATTGATAATTAAATGAGATAAAAAAAATGAAGAGCACACTGTCTAACCTACAGTAAGTGCCCAATGCACTGAAATATTTTTATAGTGCTTCTTTTTTAAAATCTAGGTGTTTTCTCCATATCAAATCTTAATTTTTTTGTTTCTTGGTCTATCTTTCCTATCCCTATCACTATTTCACATGAGGAAGACAAAACTTCCAAACTATTTGCTGTATAGATTCTACAGTTCATTTAAATGTTCACAGATAAAATGGGAAATCCTTCTCCAAGAGTCTTTGATGTACTTACAGCTCATCCACTTCTCTATCAGCTAAAAATATATTTGCCCCAGCCTATATTCTAATTCTGATTTTAAATCCATTATTTCTATCCCTTCTACAGAGCTTTCAGGAAAGTCAGTGAAAGCCAGTTTGTACTATTACTGATATAACTTGAATATGTATTATCTACTCTACCTATTTAGTTCAAGTTTATATGTATCTCTATATATACAAATTTTAATTACACTTGACTTTCACCAAGACCTTTGCAAGCATTACACACATAGAAAGAAGTTAAAATGATTCCTATTTTGTTTCCCATATCTCTCTCATTTGTCCCTCTGCAACAAATTGTCTACGCCCTTTAAATAATCCTTTTTTCTAAAGAAAAGGTTAGCAAACTTACTTTAAAAAGGGCCACATACAGGCAGATCACGAGGTCAGGAATTCGAGACCCGACCAACCTGACCAATGTGGTGAAAGTCTGTCTCTACTAAAAACACAAAAATTAGCTGAGTGTGGTGGTGTGCACCTGTAATCCCAGCTACTCAGGAGGCAGAGGAAGGAAAATCATTTGAACCCAGAAGGTGCAGGTTGCAGTACGCCGAGATGGCACCACCACACTCCAGCCTGGGTGACAGAGCAAGACTCCATCCCCCAAAAAAAGAAAAAAAAAAGAGCCACATAGTAAATATTTTTGGCTTTGTAGGTTATAAGGTCTCCGTCAAAATTATTTAATCCTACAGTTGCATTTGGAAAGCAGATACGGACAATATGTAAATGAATGAGCATGGCTGTGTTCAAATAAAACTTTATTTAAAAAAAAAAAAGCTACGGGCTAGACATTTATCCCCAAGGCTGTATTTTGCAGATCCCTCTTCTAAATATGTATCTTTCCTATCCATTCTTTCCTTTCTTATAAGTAATACTTAGGTTCATACCATCAATATCCTCATCCCCCTCTTCAGTTTGGATCTACTAAGTGGTCTCCCTATTCCCATCTCTTCCCCTTCATGCTATCAGGCCACCTCCACCAAATTAATCTACCTTGAAAAGTATATTAAACCACCTATTAAGCTCCCTCAGATTCCTAAGCTTGGTATTCAAGATTCCAAGACCTCTTATAATCTGGTCCCCACCTGGCTTTATGGCTTGTATTCACATCAGGCCCCTCTCCTCTAACCAAATGTCTCTTCTCACTGTCCCGCTGCCCCATCACGCACACACATACACACATCCCTTCCATTTCTAAGTATCATAATAAGTTAGATAATGTTTAACCCAACACTCTGATCTCGCAAATGAGGAAATTCTGTCCCAGAAAAGTTAATTTGCCCAGGATACTCAGATAATTAGTACTGGCAATGAAATAAAAGTATAGGTCCCATGATGCCTAGGTTACAGTTTTATAACTCATTCCTCTCTTATATCCAAGTCCACTCATCAGAAATCCCACTTCCTCCTGCAGACTTTCCAGCACTTAGTACTTGGATATTACTATGTGGCACTTAATCAAAGTCAGCTGTCTATTGTTCATTATTTACTAATAATTCTATTAGAATTATATGTGATATATATGTGACATCAGAATTCCTATGTGATTTGTTTTGGCCAACGAAATATGAACAGAAGTAATATATGCCACTTCTTAGCAGAAGCCTTGAGAACGATTATGCAGTTCTGCCATCGTTCTCTTCCCACCCCCACCCCACCATGAAAACAATATTGTCCCAATGAAAGCTGCTCCTTCTAGCTGTATCCCAGACTGAGAAAGACATACTGGTGAGAGCCACAAACAACCCATAGCCAAGATGTAAGGTGAGCAAAAAATGAATACGTGTTTTTAGTCACTCAGATATTGGGCTCATTGACTTATGCAGCACAATTTACCAAAAGCTGATAAACATATTGTGTTCTACTAAATCCCTACAATTCTATATAATTTATATAGTAGATTATTAAGAGTCAGCCCTTAACTGTAAATTTAATGAGAGTTTCTAAAAATTTACATTATCTATTCATAAGGAAGCCCCCTCATGCCAGTGGAATCTGGACAAAACTTTGGTATCATGGGAATGGAAGGCAGAGGCAATACAGGGAGGTCAGGAGGAATCCTAAGAGAAACTGAAAGAGAAAATGAGATAAGGAAAACAAAATTAATGAAAAGAAAAAGAAAAGAAGAGGCAGGAAGAAGCTAAAAGGATAAAGTGATTGGGGGAAGTAAGGAGGGAAGAAAAAGAAAATAATATTATATATAGGCTATAAAATGCAGTGACAGGATTCTCTCGTGATCCTTCTTTCTTTACCTTTTGGAATGAATTTCTATGCTTTCCATAGTAGTGTTAATCTTATAAGAAAGTTGTGACATTTAAAATATGGAAATGACAGATGATCCAGTATTAGTCAATGCTTTCAGCCTCATCTTCACCATGAGATCATACTACCCTCCAGCAGTATTATCCTCAAAAAAATACTGGGTAATAGTGTATAACATCCTTGAAGCTAAAGACCAATATAGGACAAGTGGCTTGCATATATGGTTACCTGACGAAATTAAAATCCAAAAACCAAAGGCCCTAAATAGAAGGACTCCATTTCCAAAAAATACTGGTCCTCTCTGAATCCATCTCCAGCATTATGTGATTCAGGAAGATATAATGTTATGCAGTCTTGAAAGTCTACTACGTAGCACGCATTGTATTTCTCTAGTCAATTATAATGTTCTCTATAATTTCATATACTGCATCTTGTACTATAGCAAATCATCAAAAAAAGCGGGGGAGGGTAGGAAACTCAAACTTTGATTTGAGGGCATTTTTATACATGACTGATTTTACTGTCACAATCCATAGCCTTTCACTGATAGGGGATTTCATGTGACATCAAAAATCAACCAACCATACAATTGGTGATGTCATTTGCACTCCAAAGGGCTATTGGCTAAAGTCTTAAAAATTTCATCTGAGATAGATTTTTGGTTGCTTCAAAGACCTTCTCTACTATTTCTATTGGCCCCAGGATAACATGTTAACATATGTAAAACATAATCACATCAATTATCACCTGATTTTTAAAAATAACTTAAAACTATCAAGGTATCTAGCAAAGATTAACATATCTTAAGCACAGGAGAAAATATATGAAGAATCCTGCCGCTGACATTTTGATAATGTTTCCATTCAGTTTCACTAAAACTTTATGTTACTTTACACATTCATAAGGTCTTTTATCCTCAAATTGTTACATTTTATTCTGTTATTATGATAGCATGTCATCCTAACAGACAACGCTACACTAGAGTGTAACTCATATACTAAAATAACTCATATACAAAAATAACTCCTATACTAAAATCAGTATATGTAATATATACTCATACACTAAACTTATATACTAAAATCAGTATAGGTAATATAATACTTCTGAATTATTTTACATAATATGATTTTTCCCCCAAATCACAGATGTTGCTAAAAGGGGGAAAATGTTCTTTAAAATTCTTCATCATGAATCTGTTTTTTTTTTTTTTCAAATCCTTTTTTTTTCTCTACAAAGGCAATGTGAATAGGGGCAAAAGAAGACAAAACTTGACCTTTTGTGATCCCAGCATTAATGGGTCTGTTCATAATTCAATCTATGTGTGTGTGGGAGCATCCATGTGGAAACATAGAGGCCTGAGAGACATAAAGCCTTTCCCTTTAAACATTATCTGACCCTATCAGTCCCATTCACAAAAGAAGGCTTACGTATGCATATGTTGAAAAAATGCACCATCTCATTGTGCAGCAGAAAGCCTACACATTCTACCCTTCATTCTCCATGGAAATGTAGCACGGAAGTGACACTTGTACAGAATTTGGGAGAGTGACAAATGAGCAGAAGGTAGCAAAAAAATATTGAATCTTCTAGTGAGAAAACAAACCAAACTTCCGAAAGAATACAAATGTGCACATGTCTATAAACATACAGACAGGTTTTTGTATCACATGTATGGCAGTTTGATAATGTTTGTATGATGTATGCATGCAATCTTTGAATTCAATTAAATTCTCAAGATGATTTACAGTCAGAACAAAGTGTTATTCTGTTTATAATCAGTTTTTAAAAGGATACATGTTGAAGCTGTGTATTCCTGAGCCATACATTGTGAATACTGTACATTGGCTATTATTAATGACTCTTTGAGGAGCTCCTCGTTCTTCTAGTGATGAGTTCAGCTGTCAGCCTGAATTCTGTGTGGGCTTGAATCCACCTATGTTATTAAAGAGAACTCCAGAGCACTTTGCACAGAACTGTCACTTGAAATCAGTACAAAGGGTGGCAGCTTCTATGCTAGGAACGTCATCTAGGCATGTAACACATGGCATGGTCTCAAAGCCAGGTCAGTGCTTCAATTTAATATCCAAAAATTTTCTAATTAACAACATATTTAAGATGAATCAGGAAGGAGGCAGGGAAATAAAATGAGTATTTTCAACAGCCTAAAATCTCTTCTTGGTTTCAAAACGAACAATACAGTGTTTTAGAGGCTAAGAAGGAAACAACCCTGATTTATGAAGATTGGAAAAGACATGGAAAGCTGAGAGCAAAGTGAACTATTTCTTGCTTTGGAAGTTGCAGTGGGTGTAAGTAACCAGGAAATCTGAAGTGCATAGCACTTCTTATTGCCAGCACTTTAAATGCTACCAAATTTTTGTTTTTGTTTTTTTTGTTTTCATTTTGGTTTTTTTGTTTTTTGTTTTGTTTTGTTTTTGCTTTTTGTTTGTATTTGACCCAGAGTCTCACTCTGTCGCCCAGAATGGAGTGCAGTGGCATGAACTCAGCTCACTGCAACCTCTGTCTCCCAGGTTCAAGCGATTCTCTTGCCTCAGCCTTCCCAGTAGCTGGGATTACAGGCATGCACCACCATGCCCAGCTAATTTTTGTATTTTTAGTAAACATGGGGTTTCACCATGTTGGTCAGGCTGGTCTCAAACCCCTGGCCTCAAGTGATCTGCCTGCCTCAGCCATCCAAAGTGCTGGGAATACAGGCATGAGCCACCGTGCCCAGCCCAAATACTACCAAATTTTTAATAGCTTCCTAGAACCCTTCTGAGGTGGGAAACATTTTGGAGGTAGATCTAACCTATTTTCAGCCAGAGGCCCCTTGTGTGCTGCTTTTAGGTCTGTTCAACAATCTAACATCCCCATCCATTCATGGGGGATGGTACAATTGAAAACAGACGTCCTCAGTGTCTTCATAACTCTTCTGGCAATGGGGCTATGTTGATGGCAACAAAGATGATGCCAACTATACCTATGGGGACAGCTATGAGACTGTGTCTCGCAGACCTCTAACTACAGGAACATAAGTGACCTTATGTCCCATCGACTGTGCTCTGAAATCCACCAGCAGGTTAGTACCAATATCTGAGGATACTAAGGTAAGTCTATCCCTGAGAGTCACAGGACTCCTCTGATGGCCAAGTTTGGCTCAAAAACACACCAATAGTTTTGCCAAACCTTTAGATTGCACAGTAGTTCAGGATGTTTCCACCCAACCTTCCTTTCCTTTCTCACTTGGAGTGGGCCTGCATTTCAGTCTGCAGATTACTCAGCCTTAACCACTGATGTCTCCATTTTCTCTTATAGCCATTTCTTCTGATAACATTCTTACACATTTAATCTCATCTTTGTACTTACATTATAAAGAACCTAGAATGATGCACTTTTATATTGACAATAATAAGCCATATAGAAATTTCCAAAAGACTTAATGTGGCTGGACACAGTGGCTCACCTCTGTAATCCCAGCACTTTGGGAAGCCAAGGTGAGGAGATCACTTGAGGCCAGGAGTTCAAAACCAGCCTGGGCAACATAGCAAGACCCTATCTCCACAAAAAAAAATTAAAACGAGCTTGGCCTGGTGATATATGCCTAAAGTCTCAGCTACTCAGGAGGCTGAAACAAGAGCTCACTTAAACCCAGGACTTCAATGCTGCGGTAAGCGATGATCACACTGCTGCATTCCAGTATGGGTAACAGAGAGAGATCCTCTTTCTTAAAAAAAAAAAAAAAAAAAAAAAAAAAAAAAAAAAGCTTAATATACTTTAACATATATCATCACCTCAAAAGTGGTTTTATGATGCATATATTATTGTTACTTTCAAATTTCATGTGGAAAAATTACGTGAAATAAAATAAGATTTTAAGATAAAACTGCAGGTAGTAGAAGAGGAGCTATAGCTCAAATTTTATGATGTTCAGTTTGGGTTTTGAGAATTGTCTAGGAATGTAGTATTTGTATAAAAATCATAGGAAAAATATTGAAGTAATTTCACACCGAAATTTTTTCTTTGTTTTCCATCAGAATTTCCCTTCTTTGAATGTTGATTAGACTTGATATTTTAGACCTAAAGTTTTAGACTCTTTCTAATCAAAGTTTTTTTAGGCTATTCGATGGTCTAGATTCCCCATCCACTCATGGGGTAAGAAACAACTGAAAATGGTGTCATTTTAAATGCCTTCATAACTCACCTGGCAAGAGAGCTAAGTTAATGGTAACAAGGACTTTTCTAAGGGTCTTAGATTTTTTTCTAACCAAAAATTAGAACTTACACATCCAGGTTAATATAATCACTTTCCAAGTAATCACATAGAAATTATCCTCAGAGGCAGGAGAATTGCCTGAACCCAGGAGGCGGAGGTTGCGGTGAGCTGAGATCGCGCCATTGCACTCCAGCCTGGGTAACAAGCGCGAAACTCCGTCTCAAAAAAAAAAAAAAAAAAAAAAAAAAAGGAAGAAATTATCCTCAGAGGCTATAGAATATATTTAGAAAGTATCATATGTATATACACACATAAATATACACATAAATGAGTATGTATTCCACTTGCTGTGTATTTGATTTTTGAAGTAAACAAAAGACTTTCTGAGCCAGAGCTGAAAAAGCAAATATATGGCTAAATAAGGCACTGTATAGGAAGAACACTGAAATACATAGTGCTAAAAAAACATAAAGATGATGATAACAAAGAAGAAACACCAACTAAACATAATTTACATTAGATTTTCCAGAAAAGATAATTTTCATTTCCAATGCTGCTAACAAGGTAAGATTTAAAATTATATATTTCGTATACTGATCATTTTCCAAGGCCACTTCAAGTTTTTAGTCCATTGAAATTATAATTTTGCATAAAATATCAAAAGGTAAAATAATTACAGTGTTTAAAAGGAAGAAAAAATCTGTAATTCTTTTAGATTATTTTCTATTTAATCTCTAATAATAATTGGTATGCTATAGATATAATTTTAATTATACTAATTAATCTAGAGAGACTTCTTTGCATTTCCCAAAGTTTACAAAATACATGGTAGATTCGTTTTTAACTTACCGTGAAAATGTAAGTAAATTCTCCAATTCTGGTAAAACATTTTTCAAACACATAGAGAATGACATTTTTCAAATTTATAATTAACAACCTAGACTTGTAACTTGTTAATATTCAGGAGAATGAGTCAGAACTATAACTTAAATCTATATAATAGCTGTTTATTATACTTTAGAAATAGTTTAACTTTATTTTTTCTTGTGAAATATAATCTACTGAGATAGCTAATCAATTTTTACAATGTAGTCTTTAATACCAGACAAATACGTCCCAAATACTAATATGGTCTCTAATGTAAGCTAGAATTTACACAGGAAAATTTGGTGCATTGTACTTTTTCATCTATTACAAAAGACATGGTTAGTAAGAAAGATGTAATCATAATGATAAGAAATATTAAAACCCTGAAGCTTGAATCCATTTCTTTACCAAAATATCAAAAGAGATATATATATATAAAGCTTATTTTTTTAAATATTCAAATTATCTTACTTCTGAAATTACTTTGGATTTTTACTGACAGTAGTACAGGGAAACTAGAAAATTCACATTATTTCCTTAGAAAGATTAAATGCTTTTGCATTCCAGGAAACAACATGAAAATCATTTTCCCCTTTTGTCTAACACCAATTTTGTATTATTTCATTTATGGAATATGCTGTCAACTTCACAGCATGAGCTTTGAAGAGAAGAAGGTTTGCTTTAATAATAATATTGTTCTTCATCACAATATTGCCTACAGGATCTTCTGATTAGCTCACTTAGGTTTAAGATTTGTAAACTATAGTTTTTCCTGGATAAAATATGACTTTGTTAGCATTTCTAAAATTCAGAACAATAACTCTGTTCTTAGAAAAGCAGATTTAACAGCAAGATTTGATATTTATCAAAAATTCAACAAAATTTTAATGTTTTTTTTCCCATGTTGGCAGGTTTTATAACTTCCAATTTCAAGTTGTATGTAACAATTTACTAATTGAGGAAATTTATGAGAAAATCTTCATGAGACTTTTTTCAGTAAATTATAATTTGATTTATTCTTTTAAGCATACAGTATTTTTTCATGCTGTCTTTATCAATAAAACAATACCCAGTTGTGATCAGTTTGTTTCTATCATAAGTTGTTTTCAGTTAACAAGAGTTGATTTACTATAAGACCAAAAGTAAAATTTATCTTAATTTTAAAATTAGTGTTCATTGTGGCTTTAAAATACAGTTTACAGTTATTTCCTTACTTCTTCTTGCCCTTTATGGTGTTCCCTTGTTGTCATTGAAAGAATTCCTTTTTCTGTAATTTTCTCCTTTTGTTCATTCATGGCCAGTCTCAACTAGAAAAAATAAATAAATAGCATGAAAGCAGGTATCTATTGACACCTAATAGCAACATTTATTTAAATAACTAGTTAAGCATAATCATGAATGTGATTTGGTATTCATTTTGCTGATATATGATAAACTCTAAATTTCATTTTTATATTTAAAACGTTTAACACACTGAATCTTTTATTTTCAATATTTTATTGTTTTGAGCATTACTAAAGATGACTTAGGGCAAGAGAGTCCTAAACTGCAGATATTAAACACTGATGAGTACTTTTTTAAAGCATTTTATTAAAATGAACATGGCAACTTAAAAAAAAATAGGTAAATATTTCTATTTAAACCTTTCATTACAAGTAGGGAGTGCTGTTATGTCAGGATAAGAAGTCAAGGATGTAAATCAAAAGTGTCAGTTCAGTAGTCTAGAATAGTGCTAAATCATTTATAATATTTCATAACAAAGGATCATGTATCTAAATACATGAACAGTTACCTCGAACCTGCTCCATTTACAAAATTAGATAAAGGTTTTCTACTACTGCTGTTAACCCATGTGCTATAAAAAAGTGAATGTGACCCATTCTATATTTCTTTATAAATAATCCTTGTAGAAACAAATGCTATTTTCATACAAAACATGACATTTTAATGTTTTTTATTAAATACTTATTTTCCAACAAAAGAAAGATGTTAAACTCCCAAATAATAATAATTGCTCAACAGACTGACATTAATAGAAAGAGAACAAGAGCCTGATAGAGAACCCTCTGAATTGGACTATTTAATAATTCTTTAGCAATGGACTTGCCATACCATATTTCCTTATAGGGCATTGGAGTAAAACCAAATAACGAACATATTTTTACATATTGTTTTGTTAGTGTTGTTAAGTAGGCCTTCTCAATTGCATACCTGGAAAATCATGTTTAACATGAATCTTTAATCCATAGCCTACCTGAAGACTTATTCTCATATTTGGCATAAAATAGAGGAAGGGAAGTTCAAAAATATGATCTCTTGAATCTAGATGTGTATTATGCTAGAATCATAGTTTTAAACCTGTAGATACTACATTGATATGAAAAACAGCTCAGTATATCAAAGAATCTGTTTTGGTAGAGAGGAAAGGCCCAGGAATCTTCTGGTGATTCTGATGATCACCCTAGATAAGGAGTTGACAAACATTTCTGTAAAGGGCCAGATCATAAATATTTTAGGCTTTGTGGGAGCAGGGGGAGATTACAACCTACATCTCTGTTGCAGTTACTCCACTCTGCCATTGTAGCATGAAATAGACTGTAAATAAATATATGCACATATATGAGTATGGCTATGCTTCAACAAAATTTTAAAAAACAACCATAACAACATATGGCAGGCTGAATTTGGACAGCAAGCAGTAGTTTTCCAATCCCCCCAACCCGTTGCCCTAGATTGAGAATCAGTAATAGTTTTTGAAAAATCATTATGTGAAACTATTCCCAAGGAATATATTTGTTACTGTTGTTAAATGATAAAAAAATAAATAAATAAAACTATAATACTAAGAAAACTTAAATATCAAGCTCAACTTTTACACATGGAAGCCTACAGCACATTGGTCTCAAGTGTCTGTTTATTTTAACAGGAGAGTTCTCATCTCTAGAGAAAATGGTTGTAGAAGAGAGGGACTGGAGAATATTTACCAAGTTCATCTATTCTTTACAAATGCAAAATTTTCCAGAGCAGATTTTTTTTTTTTTTTTGAGACAAAGTCTCACTCTATCATCCAGGCTGTAGTGCAGTGGTGCAATCTTGGCTCACTGCAACCTTCACCTCCCGGGTTCAAGCAATTCTCCTGCCTCAGCTTCCTGAGTAGCTGGGATTACAGGTGCATGTCACCACGCCCAGCTAATTTTTTTGTATTATTAGTAGAAACGGGGTTTCATCATGTTTCCTGACATTGTGCAGAGCAGATCGTTTTTAAAGGGAAGCAAAACAAAACAAAAACAGAGCTCTGAAACTCTTTGGTGCCACAGCAGGTAATGCCAATTCCGATGAGTTTTCTGGGCCAGGACATTTAGAACTGCTGCCAAGGAACTTTTTATTTAAAAGGTGGGAATTCTTCACCTTTGAAAGCTCTGCATTGGGAAAAACTCACCTCCATTCTAATATTCGACTTCTAAAGAAGCACTAACTAATCTACAAACAGGCCAATGTTACTGAAAAGCATCACATGCATAGTCCCAAAGGGAAGTACAGTAAGATATTAAGAAATAAATGGTCACCAAAATATAAAGATACACACATGGGGCCTTTTCTGGAAATAGATAAAACATTCCAAAAGACACATTTTAATGAAATCATTTAGAGAAAATTATTGAAAATAAAAAGTTAAATTAAGAAAGGGCATTTTCAGCCTGAGGTATTAATAATAGGCAGTGCTAACAGCATCTTTCCCTTAAACCCCATGACATAATAACAATGAAAATCTAACAAGCTAAATAGGAAAATTTCATTCATTATTTTTGTTGATTTTTAAATCGAAAAAAGGCTTTGCTGCTAAGATTTTTTAAACTTGTAACAAACGTTAGCCATACATACTTAGGTTAAAGTTGGGTTCATTCGGTACTAATGGAAACCAGAATAGAACAATCAAGAGACTAGGCAAGAACAGTATCCGAAATGGAAGAAACAAGAAACATAATGGCTCTGTCCAAGAAAACTGAGCAAAACTGTTTCAGGAAAATGGTCTGGTTAAATAAATAGAAGATAAAAAGAAAAAAAATCACATCAAGCAGTTTATTTAGAAACTAAGGGAAAAAAAATCCACAAAGGTGTACCTGAAGTAATAGATTCCAATGAAACAACTTCCATTGGTTGTTACCTTCCAAACTGTATCTATTTTACTCAAAAACTAAGGTTTCAGGCATTGTGGCCTCTCCAAAGCCCTAAGCGGTCATAGTTCAGTAATATATAGTTCTTTTCAAAACATGCAGCGCTTTGTGACCATAGTTAAAAGGGCTCTTAATTTCAAGGAATGCTTCAAGCGTTTGCTGGCCCAGGAAGCTCTGTTATGCACATCCTAGAGGGAAAAACAGGCTCAAGACCTCCTGCTGGAGAAATACAGCCATAACAGCAGTGATCCCATCTTAAGTGCATCACTAACTGCTGATGGATTTTCTTTTTAACTCCTCCTAATATAAAAATCATATAGATTGTGTAAAAATTTTAAAAACATATTAAGATTTTTAAAAATCTATTTTATAGGAGAAAGTTTTATAGTAACACTAGAGTTCAATTATTAGTATCTTTAGAAAAGGTATAGTAATTCAAACCAGCTAGTGTGCTCTGTCTACCAAATTCATATTGATATTCCAGATAGGAACTAGCCAAAGGGAGAAATGCCTTTTAGTCCAACCAAACTCTCATTGCTCTGCACTGTAGTTCTGCGTGTTGTTTTCTCTGTATTCAGACGAATAGTTAATGATATTCAAATGTGAATTATATGAAATGTGTTATATAAAATGTGCTAATAAATCAACATGACCTAACAAGAAAACTGTATCTATTAATATCAAAATTCCAAGGTTTTCATTAGATCAATAGATTAATTGATCTTACTAATATTTGATCCATACTTTACATGCAGATCAATATAGGTAATACTGTTTTAGCAAAAACAACAAGATAATCAGCCTTCATATATATTGACAAGTTTCCCAACGGTTTGTTAATATACAAAAGACTGGGACAAATTACTTATTTATATATACAAAACATGGTTATAAAGGCCAGCTGCAGGTATTTTTTTGGAAAGTGCATTTTAATAAGGTCCTATTCAGTTACAGAACAAATGGGGAAGAAGTAGTTTGCACTACAGAGTTTAGCGCAAGAGCTTTCTCTTTTTCTAACCACGAAATCAATCATTTGTCCAGACTGTGGGAGTCAGAGTTAGTTACTGAAAAGAGCTCCGTATATAAACAAGTCAATAACTCATTGTGTGTTATTGTCGAGCTGAAGAAGTTGGCTTTCAAAAAGCTGCCCCAGCTTCTCTCAGAATGAATGTCACTGTATTCAGGGACTGGGAGAGAGTCCTTTGTTTCTAGCCATTGCTGGCTGCCATTTATGTATGGGAACGGGAGGTGGCTGCTGGGAGAGTGGGGGAAGCCACTATTTGGTATATGGATGTCCAGAAAAAACTCTGAATTTTGTCAACCTAGTTAATTTGCATCTGGAAATGCATTACTGAAATTGATTGAGAGTGCCACACAAAAAATATCTGGTAAGAGAATTAAACAATAAATGAGTCTGTACCCTTTCAAATTGGATAGGAATAATATTTTTGGTTGCCTACCTGTCCACAAAAATGAATCCAAAATTCAGGCAACGGTTTGAAAAGTTCAAATGTATAAAATCAAACTGGTGGAAAGGTCAACATATCAAATAAATGTTCCTGCCATAAATAGTAAGAATGATTCTTGGGACTATCAAATGGAGTTTTTAAAGGGTGTGTGTGTGTGTGTGTGTGTGTGTGTGTGTGAGAGAGAGAGAGAGAGAGAGAGAGAGAGAGAGAGAGAGAGAGACAGAGAGACAGAGAGAGATAGAGAGAGTATACACATATGCACTCATAAGCTTCTTTTATTTATTTCTATTACACATATAAGTTCAAAGAGAAGGTATTATACTTTAGGATAATAGAGTCTCTTTAAAGAATGATTTTATGTGCTCAACATTTGTGATAAATTAAGGATACATTCCAACTATCTTTGACTTAATTTAAATGCTTTTTAAATTCCTAAAATTTGTAAGATATTATAATCTTATTTATTTGATCTTAATAAGTGTTAAATAGCTACCATTAATTCAGAATCAAACTAGGGACCATGAAGAAGCACAAGACCAGGTTTCAAGGTTTATAATTAAGCTGGGTAAGTTTAATAAATGAGTTTTTTTTTTAAATCTTTTAGCCTCTCTAATTTTTACAAAAGCTTAGCTCTTAATCAAAGTTGCAGCC